GGATCCTCACTCCCTTGGTAGACTCAAGTCAATGATAAGGATTCATAAGGTCGGTATCTTTGCTATTTTGGAACCATTGGTCTCCTCTCCGGATGATCGCATTTTGTGTAAATTCAAAAACTTTTCTTCTACCCTCCTGGACTTTAATTGCAACAAGGCCGCTGGGCCTGATGGTTTCACCTCTGCTTTCTATATTAAATGCTGGAGTATTGTTAAGGGTAAGGTGGTGGAAGCTATACAGAGTTTCTTTAAGGGGGAGACTTCTGAAAATTATTTCTCTGCCGCTACTATCGTTCTTATTCCCAAAAACACTCAAAAAAGCTCTTAGGACCATTTTAGACCTATTTCTCTGACTTCTGTCATATCTAAGATGATTAGTAAAATTTTGGTCAGGCGTATTCAACCTCATCTCCACAAATTAATTTCCTTGAATCAATCTGCCTTTATTAAAAGGAGAGGGATCACGAATAATATTATGCTTGCGGAGGAACTCATCTTGGATATTGATAAAAAAAAGTAGAGGGGGAAATATGGTCACTAAATTGGATATTCACAAGACTTATAATTCTATTAGTTGGGAGTTTATCTTGAAGGTGCTTAAAGCTAGGGCTTTTCCCCAGGATTTTTGCAAAATTATTCTCTCATGGCTCCATTGCAATAAATATAACATACTCATCAATGGTCAATCTCTGGGCTTCTTTAGTGCGGGGCATGACCTCTTATCCCCTACTATTTTCATTTTAATATTTGATTATCTTTCTTGCCTTTTAAATAACCTTTTCAGGAGAAACACCACTTTGCATTACGCTCATAAATCCAATACGTTGGTAACACATTTAACGTATGTCGATGATATGATATTGTTCTCTAATGCTAGCAAAAAAGCGGCGAGAGATATTCACAGTTTGATGGCGAACTTCTAATCTTCTCTGATCTCCTTTTTAATGCCAATAAATGCAACTTTACATGGGAAATATGGTCAATCGTTCTAATGTGTGCTGTATTGCCAGTTTTACTGGATTCTCTATTTCTACGATTCCACTTAAATATCTGGAGGTCTTCTTACTTAAAGGAAGGAAGAGGTGAATTCAGTTTGATGAGGTGGTGGAAAAGATGCGGAAGAAAATCTTGGATTGGAAAAATAATTTCTTTTTTTTAGGGGTAGAATTACGTTGCTCAGGAATATCTTACGTTCTCTTCCTTTATATACTTTTCAAGTTTTCCAACTCATGAAAATCACTCTTTTGAGCCTCGAAAGATGTTTCAATAAGTTTTTATGGGTGAGGAATCATTCAGATAGAAGATGGATGCCTTGGAAGAATATTTGCAAACCTCTTTAAGCTGGTGGTTTGGGTTTCAAATCTCTGCATCATATTGATGATATTAATGTTTTTAAACAATGGTTTAATTTTCGGAAAGGAGATTCCTTGTGGGTCATTTTCATGCATGGGAAATATTGCCACTCTTGTTCGATATTGATCAATTGGCGGTTGGGGGATTCCACTATGTGGAAGAGAATGCTTTATGTTAGAGATTGGGCAAAGGATTTCAAATATTGGGAGGTGGGGAGTGGAAAGATTTCCTTTTGGCATGACTGTTGTTTCCATGTAATGCTTGATATGAGGGATACTAGGTTTTCAACTCTTATGGTTTCTGATACTTGGGTGGATGGTCGTTGGAATTTTCCTCTTCTCCTTAATTTTTTGGGTTTCGAGGGAGCTAATACTCGTTTAACTAAATTTAGTTGAGGTGCGACAGGGACGGACAATTTAGTCAGACTAAATTCTCACGAATACTCGTATTAACTTGCAGAATTAAGACCCAGTGGGTGATGAATAAGTTTAACTAAATCGCCGCAAACATGTGTTATACATTACATTTTATAATTAATTTAGATTCATATTCAGAAGCGTGGGAAAAGTTATATCATCAAAACAATAAGCTATGCAAAGTTGCAAATCCAACATAAATAAAATATGTACCCAAAAGACGGTGCAAAATCCCAAAATTATAAATGCAAAAGCTGTACAAATCACATTTGGCTACTTTCCTCTTCTTAAAAGTAAACAGTATAGAGTGAGAAACAAAAACCTTGGTAAAATAATCAAGGCTAAAGTAAGTTTTTTTAGACTGAAAAGAAACAATGTGAATGCTCATATGAAACAGTACATGTTTATACACAAGTTACAATATGCTATAATAGTATAAAACATGAAAAGAAAGTATGTAGGGTAGAAAATCATGACTGTTGTATAAAACATATATAGTCATAAGTTTGTAATCATAAGCATGTTCTTAGCAGTCTCATCATTGCATAACAATATCACTTGTAAATGTATAGGCCTTAACTATTTTCTTGTCCTGTAAAATCAAGGGTCATCACCCTGCTCCAATTTTCATATTAACTATCAATAAAGGTTGATTTAACATAGTAGTTATCATTATCCCCCATGATACTAACGGTTTTCTACATTATGTCACCTTCTGTTCACAACAGTTTCTAGAGTTTCGTCACCACCTAAACACCAAAGTTGGGAATACCACATTCCTGCATAACGTACTTGCAAATACTCGTGTAATAGTCAACCCATAACATCACTTGTAACATTTCTTAAAACATAATACATGTATCAAACATTCATAGACATTTCATATATCACATGCATGAATCATAACAAATGAATATCTGCAGACAATTAATTTCGTAAGCATATTCATCTGTATCATAGAATAATAGCATCACATGTAAGAAAAATCAACATGCATTCATACATTCAATTTAGGTATTCCTTCACTAAATGCAGGAAATTCTAAATGCATTCATATCAAACGAGAATTCATATGAAAACCTATAGAAGATTATTTCACCTGGCTTGATGGAGTCCTATAACGAGTTTTCTCACGCTAGTCTCGAGCTTGCCACCTCGTGTAAACAACCTGAAATTTTTATGTAACTTAGGGTTTCATGGAAATTTTTATGTAAACATTCTTCTCCGAAATGGACCTCTTTGTTGATTTTGTGCTAAAACCCTTAGGGTAGCTCGCAAACAAAGTTCGACGCTTTCGACACAAGTTCGATGTCTGCTATGGCTACGGGTAACAAAAAATGCACAAATTTGTGGCAAACGTTAAAATGAAAATGTGAGGAAGGAAAAGAATATTTACAATAATGTAAAAGGATTCATAAGCATCAAACTCTCTGTGAAAGTTCTTTCCATGAGCCGAGGCTTCTTGGTGGTTGGCCACCCTCCTATGTTCGTTCAAAGCTACAGTAACCCAAGCCCCTTTACTGTTCCGTGTGAAGCTGAACATGGGAAAGGAAGATGGGGAGAAGGGCGCAACAATTTATCTCGCCCCTCCTCTTTTGTCAGCCGCTTGATTTAATCGAGCCCTTTCATGCGCGTGTAAGTGTGGGGTGATTCGGTTGCCTACAGTGGACAGGCAGGAGCAGGATACAATTAGCATAATTAAGGGTTTAATTAAGGTAATTGTACTTATCATTTCATAGTTTTTTATCTTCCAAACCGTTCAAAATTAGTGTATAGTGCTTTATAACGAATTGATCGATTTGAAGCGTAGAATTTTATAAAAATAATTCGTTTGAATTATGAAGGGTGTTAATTTTAGGGTATATTAAAAATTAAAAGATTTTTTACCCATTCTAGAATTTTGGCCGTTACAGCTACCGTATTGACAGGAGCACATATTTACGCTTGGCAACATTATTTTTTTTTCTTGTATTTTATACTGTTAATTATCATGTTTTTAAGAGAAATATTTTATGCCTGCTGTTTCTGATGACTTTCTTAATCATTTTTGGTTTTTAGATGTGATATTTGCGTAAGTGGGCCTTCCCCAAAGCAAAGTTTGACTGCTGAAGTGAAAGCTTTCCTGCATACTCTCCAGACCCAATGTGCATATATGGTATGTAACCTTCTTTCCTTTGTACTACGTTTTGGAACATTTTTTGCTCATGTCTGTGGAGTGGTTCTTAATAGCTATTCTTTTTCAAATGAACATATTTTCTCCGGTAGTTCTCTGATTTAAAAATATATGAGTAGTTCATTTGAAATTCGCCTCATTTATCAATCTATCATAGTAATTAGAACTTATTACAGATAGTAAATTTAGTTTTAGTAGTCAAAGCCAAGTATATTGAGCAGATCACTTAGTCAATATAAGGGTATATTTTCACTTTATGAAAACATGTATCGTGCTTTTTGCTAATTCCTAATTGTTAGGATGAGGTAAATGATGGTGATGGTGTTCGTGAGTGGGAAGTAAGGCCTATAACACATCTTTAAACTTTTCTTGGCCATCTCAAACATGTTGGAATGATGTAATTGTGCTTCTCCGTCTGGCCTCATTCAATCATGAATTTTACTCTTTGTATTGATTGGTTGGCCACTTTGACTAGCCTTGCTAGTTTTATCCTTTTATCTGGCCTTTTTGACCGGGTTTGCCTATTTTACCCTTGTGTCTTTTATGTATTCATAGTTGAACTGTTTTAATGTTCTAATACAATTGCACATTCAAGTGTAGACTAACAACATGCTACCCCAATCTCTTAATTAAGTTCTGTTGACCTCAATTTTCGTGAGGTCTAGTATTTCTCGTAGGAATTAGGATCTAGCCTTAGAGGTCTTCCTGCGACTATCTTAGAACCTTAGAAGTGGGACCTGCCTCGTTTTAGTTCGACCCGCTTCCGTCCCCTTCTGGAGTTTCGCGTGTGTGGTATCAACTTCTAGCACTTAGAAGGACGAAACCAACATGAGGAAACCCAAAAGGGATTCCTATAGGGTTATTTGAGCCTTAGGGTGGCCTTTTGCACAATTCGCACTCCCGCGCACAAAACTTCGCAATTCGGAGAATCGACGCGTTCGATCGCTACAATTCACATCGCTTGCACTGTTATCTGTCCAAGACTCGAATAAACTTTTTGAAACGATTGATCGCGAGTCGAAACTTCGTGAAATTTGAATTTTGATCCGTTTTTGACCCGATTGTCGACTACGTCG